GCTGTGCTCGCTGTAGAGAACCTAGGCGCCTTCTTACTGTCTCCACCGCAGGGCTGTGCTCGCTGTAGAGAGCCGAGGCGCCTTCTTACTCGTCCACTACAGGATGATGTACCACCAAAGAGCCAGTCTCACTCAGATGAAGACATTCTCAAGTTCTGCTTTCTGATTTTCAGCTCTTCCCTTAGATCTGTTGTTAGAATAATGTTGATATTTGGAGGATGTTTTATTGTTTTCATTTGCTTTTTCACTCAGTTATTCAATGTCACTGTGCAGGGATAAGGACAGGTACTCTAAGGCTGTTGTCCTGCAGTTTTACAAACCTGTGCTTGCTTGGCTTGGATTTTTTTTTTTTTAATTTTTCTCCAACTACCTAAGACGTCTTTAAGTCTTCTAGCCATTGCTATTTTTATTTTTGTTACAATGTTTTCCTGTCTGCCCCAGCTAGAGAGGGCCGTGACAGAGCAGAGATGAGTCCAACCAAGTCCATCTTGATAGCCTGGGAGTTTAGCGAGAGCCACAGGAGCGTGGGTGACTTGGCGGTTACATCACTGAAAAACCCATTCCAGTGTGGGTGACACCTCATGCAAGTTCTAACAGTGGAGCCCCAACCCTGCAGCTTAAGGCAGTTCTCTACCAAAGAACATCCATCTGCATGCATGTGCATGCATACACGCACACACGCACACACTCCTGCCTCCAGCAGTTGCTCAGCACGTCTGTGAACTGTAAGAGGAACTTCTTTGAATCTTGTGTCTTCTGAATTATATTCACTGAGAGTCTACAGTGGAATGCAGTATGAGGAAATACACACACACACACACACACACCAAAAAGTTGCATAAAAATTGCCCAAAAGAATACTTCTGCCATACGTGTTCTCAGAGTGGCATATTTATAAAAATTTGTGTTGTAGTGGGCCTGCAAAGCTCTCGGAATCAAACTATCTGCATTTGAATCTTCTGTCATACCTTGATTAGGCACTGTGTCATTGTGCCTGTGTTTCCTCATACAGAAAAAAAAGAAGAAATAAGCCAAGTGCATTGGCACATGCATGTAATCCCAACACTTGTGAGACAGAGGCAGGAGAATCAGGAATTCAGAGCCTGAGAAGGGTACAAAGTGTGCATTAGTGAGCATGGCCCATGTGGCAGAGCCCTGTCACACATGCACAACAGAAAGGAG